GTCCAGGGTGCTGGCAGGGAGCGGAGGGTCTCCCCTGGCTCCAGCCACTACTGCTGAAGACAGCCAGTGCCATGGGGCTGGTGGTGAAATGGGTGCTTAGTGCTTTGGATGGGGGTCCATAGAGAAGTTTGGGGTGCTCATCCCGGGGTGGGGCAGAGGCAGAGGGGAGATGAACCTGGCTCTGCTGGAACGTGCATGGCTACAAAGCCCGGCTACTCCGTACCAGGAGGTCCCCGGGGACGGGAGTTCATCCATCGGGCAGGAATTTCCTAGACAAGGCCATAAACCACCTTGGACCTGCCCTTGGAGAAGCAGCGGGGAAGGAGCTGCCCAGCCGCAGCTCCACTTTTTTTTTAGCCCCAGATCTCCCTTACCCCATGTGAAACCCCACTGTAGATGGAGGATGGGCTCACCACAACCCCAGGGCTTGCTGTCATCAGCGGGGGCTTCTTGTTCTTCTCTTTGGGTACAAAACATCTTCGAAGAGCATCTGAGGAGAGCACGAGCCTGAGCCTCGCTCTGCCCTGGGGAAAGCCTTCAGGGAGCTCAACAGGAAGCAATTATTGACTGTTAGAGCAGTGTTAATTGGAAAACTGGGACTATAAGGATTTATCCCTGAGGATGGGAGGTGCCGCCCTGGGTAGGAGCCAGTTCACAGTGGGAGGAAGCCCATCCTCAGCCCCTCTGTAGGCAACATCAGGACAAAGGGACATGCGAAGTGTCCGATGCTGCACGCTCCCAAGTGCTAGAGAGACAAGGAGAGATCCCCATCAGAGGATGGAGGCTTCTCTGTGTAACCCTCAAAGCCTGGCTCTGCAAAGGCAGCGGTGCCAGGACCCTGCTGTGGTGCTGTGGAGCCTGAAACCTTTTGGTCCCCATCAGCACCAGCATCATCTGCCCCAGCAGGAAACAGCTGCGGCTCCTGGCTCCGGGGAGGGACGTGGTCACCCACGAGCCCTCTCGGTTGGCAAACAGCACATTGCCACTGGTTTAGGGCTTCCTGAAGCTGCTTGATTGTGCTTGCCAGAGCCCTCGTGCATGGCACGGCACGGCAGCAGGACCCCTGAGCAGCTGGGGATCGGCAGGGACCAACACTGGCACTCCAGGGCCATACCCTGCAGTGGTAGAGGTGAGGCCTCACGCAGACAGAAGCGACACCCAGAGATGGGGACATGCACAGGTATTTCAGCTGCTAATAAGTAAATGCTTAATAGGAAAATGATTCTTAAAAGTGGAAGCTCTTGGCTGGATCTTGCTGCTGGTCCTCTCTGTGCCTTTGGCATCGCACCCGGGGCACAGAGGCAATGGCTCCTCACAGGGACAAGGGCATGTCCACCTCTGGGCATCACAGCTGGTGGTGGTTAAACCAGTGCTTACAGCTCTCACAGAGACATGTCCCTCCTCCTGCTCTGGGGAGTTTTACTCATCAGAAAGGAGTTTCATTATGATGCCAGAACAGCAGAGAGAGGTGTCAGAAATTACACACAGGATGACACGAACCACCCTGATGCCACAGAGGAATTCAGAAGTTTCCAGAATTAAAAGCAGTTCCAGAAGACGTTGCCTGTGATCATCCTGGTGTTTCCGTGACTGTCAGGGAAGCAGGTGAAGAGGAGCAAATCTCACTCTATCACACCCACAGGCAGATGTGTCCATCCTTAGACCCCCAGAGCGCAGCCTATAAGCCAGCTATAAGCCAGTGTGCTCTCCCTGCGTGTCCCTTGGGGCTGGCGCAGGGTGTCTCATGTAAGGTTATCACTTGCTAAGCCTGAAGTGGCTTTTGGGGTGT